AAAAAAAAACTCGAAAATAGAACAAACAAGGCAGGAAAAATTGTGGCTTGGCCAGGCCAGTGTTTTTAGCCGAAGAGGAGCTCTCTGATCTCGTCAGAATCAAGCAGCTCAGCTCTTTCCCAAGCCAGGGCAAGGGTGGAGGCTCTAGGCTTCCATTTGTGCTGCTGTAGTGCCCTCCAGATCATGGAATGCTTTGGGATACAGTGCAGGTGCTTATCCTTCACTGAGAGGGAGTAAAGCTCGTCGTTAACACCCACTGCAACATACCAGGTAATGCAGGGGTGGGGGACACCCTTTCTGGGCTTAGACTCTACTCCAATCCTGTAAACATGGCAGAAATACTGATACTCCTCCAGTTCAAGGCACAGGTCCCTGAGGGAGTCAGCTGTGTAGCTCAAACTCGTCAGGGATGTGTAGGAGGACGTGGTGGACGAGGGCATGGTGTTGTTGGTAGAGTTTGGGGGTGTTTGGGGGTGTGGCTGGATTGTTGGGTGAACCTCCAGCAGAGGGGGGTCCAAGCAGCTCTGCTTTTGTACCTCTCCCGGCACAACCGCCCAACGGATCGTGCTGAAACTTGCGGGGCAGCTTGTGATGGACCTCGGCACGGTGTATGCTGAGTTTGGCGGCGTTTGGGCCGCATTTGATGGCGCTACACCGAATGCAGTATGGGTATGGTGCTGCGGCGCGGCTTGGGAGGAGTAAATTCTAACTCCTCACTGAGACAAGTTCTCCGCTTGAAATTTGGAGTGTGGCTTGATGCATCCGGCATCGTGGTGTGTGCCGCTTTTGGTGGTGATCGGACGCCTGTGAAAGGAGCTGTGCCTTCCTGGGTGGCAGGCAGAATTTGGGTACATTCCTGCAGGGGGTACCCAGGCTTTGCTGCCAGCTGCAGGCCCTGGGTGTTTCCCCAGGCTTCCTACTGTCGAGAGGAGGTAGTGAGGCCACCACTGGCAACTTCAAAGGCTTCCACCTTGTCTTGAGCATTTTCTAGAGCCCATGCAGGCTCCCATGTAGACTCATGCTCTGCATAGCCCTGCCACTTGACTAGCCAGCGTCGTCTGGCTCCAGTTCCTTTTGCATCTAGAATGCATTCTACTTCATATTCTGCTTCGTCACCAACTAGCTCTGGTGGTGGTGGAGGAGGAGTCCTTGGTAAAGAGGTGCCAGAGAGGGGATCCTGCCAAGGCTCTACCATTGAGAGGTGGAACACTGGGTGTACGGAGGCCAGATTGGGAGGAAGCTTCAGCTTGATAGCAGTCTCTCCAATATTCTCAATGACCTCAAAGGGGCCAGCTCGCCTGTGAGCTAGCTTCTTTGTTGGCTGTGTAGTACTTAGGTGCTCCGTGGTGAGCAGTACTTTGTCGCCAACTGCAAAGGATATGTCCTGGCGCCGGTTGTTGGCATACTTTGCTTGTCGAGCAAGGGCTTTCTGGATGTTTGCCTTCATCTGAAGATGAATGTCTTCAAGATCATGTAGATGGTTATTTGCTGCCTGGTTGACACTAGGCAAGCCAATACTGGTTGGCATCAGAGGATCCCTGCCATAATTTGCTTTGAAGGGGGATACTCCGGTAGATGCTGCAACAGTGTTGTTGATGGCAAATTCTGCTAATGGTAGGAGTTCTGCCCAATTGTCCTGCTTGTAGGAACAATAGGCCCGAAGAACATGCTGCAAAGTACGATGAGCTCTTTCTGTCTGCCCATCTGTCTGTGCATGATGTGCAGAAGACATGGACAGTTTGACGCCTAGGTGCTTCCAAAGGGACTTCCAGAAGTTTGAGGTGAACCTTGGGTCTCTGTCAGAGACAATCTCTTGGGGAACACCATGCAGTCCAATGATCTTGAGGAAGAGGAGTGCAGTCTCTGGTGCCGACAGCTTTTCCATGTTGCAAGGCAGGAAGTGGACCATCTTGGTGAAGCGGTCTACAACAGTCATGATGGCTGTGTAGCCCCTGCTTAATGGGAGGTCTGTGACAAAGTCCATTGAGATGGAGACCCATGGAGCTGAGGCTGGTGGCAGAGATTGTAGTAGGCCATAAGGTCGATGTGTGGAAGGCTTGATCCTTTGACAGATGTCACATGTGGAAATGTACTTCCTCACTGTGTTCTGCATGTCGGGCCAGTACCAGTCTCGAGTGATGACCTCAATTGTCTTGTCCTGCCCTAGATGACCACCGAGTGGGCTGTCGTGGTTCTCATTGAGGATTTTCATCCTGAGAGGCTCTGTTGGAACAAAGATCCGATTGTTCCAGTACAGGAGCCCATCTGCTTCTGTAAGCATGGAGGACTGTCGTTTCTGCAGTGCTGTGAGGTGCTCTCGATTGGCATTGAACCATTCCCATTCTTCAGATTGCTCTGTGGCCTCCTTAATTTCTTGAAGTAATGTTGAGGCGGAGCGAGTGATGATGTCCAGCTGTCGATAGTCTGGTCGCCTTGACAGAGTGTCAGGGACACTGTTGACCTTTCCAGGAATATGCTTGATGTTGTAATTGAAATTACACAGAAGCTCTTGCCACCTAGCCTGGCGCTTGTTGAGACGCTTCTGTGTCTGTAGGTAGGTCAGACTATGATGGTCTGTCAGAACATCAAAGCCAGGAGAGTCCTCCAGGTACAGTCTCCAGACGGTGAGCGCATGTACAACTGCAAGGAGTTCCTTTTCTCGAATTGGGTAGTTCTGCTCAGCTGGAGAGAGCTTTCTCGACTCAAAGGCAATAGGGTGCCAGAGATTGTCTTCAAAGATCTGCTCCAGTACCGCTCCAATTCCAATCTCTGAGGCATCTGTTGCAACCCTAATGGCTCTTGCCGGGTCAAAGATCCTGAGGATGGGTCCTGTGATGAAGTGGTGCTTGAGAGTGGCAAATGCTTCCTGTTGAGCAGTGTTCCACTCGAACATAGTGTCCTTGTGCAGCAGCTGAGTGAGAGGTGCTGCTAGCTTGCTGTAGTCCTTGATGAAGCGCCTGTAGAAGTTGGCAGTTCCCAGGAAAGATTGGACGTCGTGCACTGTCTTGAGTGCAGGCCAATCTGCAATTCCTTTCACCTTGGCAGGATCCATTGTGACACCTTTGTCTGACACAATGTGACCAAGGAACTCAGTGTGATCTTGGAAGAACTCACACTTGCCAGGTGAAGCATAAAGCTGATGTTCTTTGAGCTTGTCAAGAACAATCCTTAGATCTTTTTCATGTTGCTCAGCTGTAGCACTGTAGATCAGGATGTCGTCAAGGTAGACAATCACAAATCTGTCCAGGTAGGGCCTGAGAATGTCGTTCATGAGATGCTGGAATGTTGCAGGGGCATTGCAAAGTCCAAAAGGCATCACCAGATACTCATAGTGTCCATACCTTGTCTTGAAGGCAGTCTTGTGAGTGTGATCTGGGTGGATCTGTACTTGGTTATAGCCAGACTTGAGGTCTATCTTGCTAAAGACCTTGGCATGTCGTAGTTGGTCCAGCAGATCGTCTATCCTAGGGAGAGGATAACGGTTCTTGATAGTCTGCTTGTTGAGCGCTCTGTAGTCAATGCAGAGCCTCAGCTTACCATCCTTCTTTGGTACAAAGAGGACTGGCGATCCATAGGGAGAACAGGAGGGCTGAATCCGTCCTGCTTCCACTTCTTCTTGAAGGTATGTCCTGAGCGTGTCGAGCTCATTCTGGGACAGTCGGTAGATAGGTCCATTCACTGGAAGGGCACCTTCTTTTTCATCAATGCGATGTTGTAGTTTGCAATGAGGTGGAAGGCCAGGCGGTAGGTCTTCTGCAAACACCTCTGCATAGTCTTGCTTGATCCTGAGTGAGGAGTCCTGATATGGCGTCTGAGCTCTCTTGGCTTCAGAGTCATCATGCTCCTGGGCTTCCTGGGCGCCAGGGCCATCCTTGTTGATGTCGTTCTTGTTGTCGCTATCCTGATGGGTCAGAACCGCCAGAAACAAAGGAGAGTTGCGCTCCCTTGAGATCTGGTGTCTCGAGATGTTCTGAGCCATGAGCGTCTCATGTTCCTGAGCTTGAAGTACTTCTTCTGCCGTCGCGTCGGGCAGTGCTCCATCAGTCACTAGCCGTGCCACTGATGTCAAAGGCTCCCTGGCCTGTGTGGTCTCCTTGGCAGCTCCGGCTCCAAAGGTAATAGTATGAGTATCCATGTTGATAATGGCTTGATGTCGTGTAGTCCAAGGCGTCCCAAGGATGATGTCGGAATGAGCTAGTGGAGTTACTAGCAAACGGGTTTGAGAAACAATGGAGGGGCCAGTTCCATTGGGGAATTGAAGTAAAGCGGTAACCTGATGTTGAGGTACGGTTGGTCGGCCATCTGCAAGTTCCAGGGAGACCAGCCTGCTGGTTATTGGAGACTTTGGCAGATGTTGAAGTAGAGGTGATGTTGAGGAGATGAAATCTTCAGTGGCAGCAGTGTCTACTATAGCAGTAGCTGCATGACCACCAAACTTGATGTTGTACTTGAGGACCTGATGACAAAGGGCATTGTCTGCCGGCTTGGAGGCGCTATTGGGGCTTGGGCTGCGCTGGCCCAGTCCAAGCCTTAGTCTTTTCCCTGCTGGGGAAAAGGCTTGTTGACTCTAGGGGCAAAGCAGTCTCGAGCCAGGTGTCCTGGCTTTTGGCAGTTGTAGCAGACAAGAACATTTCCCTGTCGTGGTCTGTTGTTGCTGGAGTGCCGGTTACCATTGTTGGAGTGCTGTCCAGGAGGGGGTCCATTGCGCTGCATGTTGTCAAGCTGCATCTGGGTATCGGTTGCCCAGCTAGGTCGTGTAGGGGCTGAAGCTACAGAACTGTAGGTAGTAGCAGTCCTGTTGTTGTTGAATGTGCGAGGTCCAGGTCCAAAGTTTCGATTGTTCCGAGGAGGGAGCACCTGCTGAATGGTGGACTTCTGTTCTGCAGGAGTTCGCTGGTAGTTCCTCTCTCGATTGTGCTCATAGAAGCGGCTATCAATCTGGTTTGCAAGCTTGACCAGGTCATTGAATGACTCCGGCTTGGGCAGTAGAGCCAGCTGATCCTGGACATTGGCCCTGAGTCCTTTCTTGAAGTGATGGTATTTTGCCTGCTCAGTTTGATCAAGCTGAGCAGCAACAATGGAGAACTCGGCTAGATAGTGGTTGACAGAACCTTTCTGCTGGAGGGTGTCCCATTTGCGCAGCCAGTATGATAGAGGGTCCAGTTCAGCAAAGCTGTCGTTCAGCTGCTGGGTAAAGTCCTCATAGGTGATCCAAGGAGCTTTGCCTGTTTCATCAAGGCCTTGGAACCATAGTTTGGCCGTTCCTTTGAGGTAGGCAGATGCAAACATGATCTTTGTAGCATCAGAGGCAAACTTGGCTGGCTCATTCTTGAAATGTTGTTGGAGGTCGTATAGGAAGTCCTTGAGGGCGCGTGTGTTCCTAGCTCCATCATATGGCCTAGGATCTGGAAGCTTTGGTGCTTTGGTGCTTCTGTATGACTGAAGCATACTTTCCAGCTGCTGAGACTTGGTCTCATGAGCAGCTTGGAGTCCAGCAATATACTGTTGAGCAGCAGCAGGTAGGTCGTCATAGGTGGTGGTGTCCATGTTGGAGGTGGAAAACCAGAGGCAAGATGTGTGGGTGGCTGATGAAATCCTTTGAGGCAACAGTCTTACTGTGCAAAATTCCGAGTTACAAGTGCTGTGGCACAGGGACTAGTACTTGACTGTCAGCTCCCTTGGCCTTTCCGGGCAGAAGGGGTCGTCCAAAAGAATACAAGTGAGGAACGCTCTCACAGGGACTAGTACTTGACTGTCAGCTCCCTTGGCCTTACCAGGCAGAAGGGGTCGTCCAAAGTAGAAAGTAGAAGGTAGAGGTGTCCGGGTGGTGAATCAACCTGTGGACACAAAAGAAAAAGGGGGCAAGGAGTACGATCAAAGTAACTCTCTAGAGTAATGCTTCAGCTACCAGATGTGACACTGCTGTCCGAGCCAGTGTCTATCACTATACTTATTATACTACTGGGGTCTTGGATCAAAGGAGGGAAGATGTTGTGAAGGAAAAGAG